AGGAACGTCTGCTTTTGGACATCAAGGTTTGATGCCCCCTATCTCCCCCTTTCTGCATGCATGTTATAACCATCACTCCGATTGTGCAAGGTCGGACACTCGTCTGGTTTCGTTGATGAGCCTTTGTCTTGTTTTTGTTGTCAATGCGAGAGAGAAAAAGTGGGCTAAAATTACAGAGAAGTGGTGCAACCGACCTTCGAATCTCTTCACTCAACACTTTCACTCGAAATGGAAGTAAGCTCAACAATTAACGCTTAAAAGTAATTTCATCCCTGCGGAAGTGGACACAACCGACCCAAAGGAGTTTGATAAAACAAATCGTTAGTATAGTCTATTTGAAGTGTACTCAACCTATTTCGTTAAAGGTGATGAAGTTTTTCTACTTGAAATTTCCCACAATGATACGAGTAGAACTGACATTTACACTTAATTTTACATAAGCCTACTTTCCCAATAGGCATTTTCATCCAGGCAAGAGTGGATGCAGCTTTGACCTTGCCTAGCTCTCCTCAGCACTCCCAGCGGGACTTCAAACTTGACAGTGCAGCCTATAATTTAGACACATTAACCTCTACACCACGTTGTCTAAATTGCCCTTGGGTCAGAGGGAATATATGAATTTCAAGCAGTCGTTAATATCACATTCTGCGTTGTCGATGAGTCAATTGACTAATTTACTTATTTTTCGAGAAGTGGATTGACCTTGTTGCCGCAACTTGGTCTTGTTGTCATGGCGACTATGCAGAACGCATCTAGTCCGAAGTCGTCTGACAAATCTAATGAACAGGAGATTGGAGGAAGGTAAAGTTTGCGATAACTTTGCCTACTGCCTAAGCAAACTCGGGGAAAAGAATAGAGCAAGACCAGCAAAAAAGAGACGCCTGGATCAAGAATCTGCCGCTAACCGGAGGAAAAGGGATTGTGATGACGAAAGTGGGATGCAAGGGTATTCGACAATCAAGTGAAAACGTTGTCAGTGAGTGATGTCCATTTCGAATAGACCAGTACAACTTTGAGGGCCTGGCAGTGAGGGAGCTGGGCAGACTGATAAGCAAACCGTCATAGAAATTCGACGTTATGGCCAAAATGTATTAGAAATCCACTTGAGATGCTGCATGCAAACAGAGATAGGCGTCCACAATTTGCTCAGATAACATGGGTTTGATCAAGTAGACGATCAGTGTATGTGATTCTAAGACCTGGAGAAATAGCGTCTGGAGTGAAATGCACAATTGGACTGAAACCGAGTGAAATCGGTCAACCAGAAAGAGAAGGAACCGATCTAAGAGACAATGAGGGGATCCGGATCAGAGGCTCGAGTCGGAACAGTCGATTTAAAGAGAGGGGTCGGGGTGAATAGCAAGTGGGATGAGGCCACACTCGGTTTGCCAAAAAAAAGGGCACACATTTTGACGAGTGGAATGTAAACAAGTGAGAAGTTGTGATAGGGCAGCAGTGGGATAAGAGTGTAAAGAGTAGATAGATAGACAATGACAGACAGAGGAGTGATAGTGTAGCCGTTTTCGGCAGAACGTGACTTCAATTCATAGCTTGGTGCGGAGAATGGAAAAACTCACTGCTGATGCAGACTATGATGCCGGCGAAACGTTTGAGAATGTAGCAAGTCTGATGCTGGGCATCATGACAACTACTATGGCAGACGACTTCGGACTAGGTGCGTTCTAAATAGTCGCCCTGACAACG